TGGAATGAAGTCAAGGTCGGCAGGTAAAATGTCAGGTTTCTGATGACTCTCAGGATTGGTAGGCAATGCAGCTGGTCTGTGGCTCAAGTCCAAAGAGCCAGAGGTCAGATGATGATCCAGATCCAGAAAAGGCAAGTGAGCTTTGCCACAGCGACCACATTTATTGGAAACTTCCTGGAGGAAACTCCCTTTCAATAGAGCGTCTGCTCATAGTAGCTCTCAACATGGTCGTGATGACCTTATATCAAATCTCATCGTGGTGGGTGATGACATCATAACTGCCAAACCACTACGAATTCTGGACCAGCCCAATAGGCACACAACGTGAACCCTTACAGGTACATAAGCCTAGACCAGATATGGTTCTTGCCTTATAAGGAGAAGGGATGGCATTTGGGTGAAGGAAAGCAGCCCAAATGTCCAAGTTTCTGTTTTTTCCCCTGGAATCCTAGATTTTGCAGTTGTTCACTAGGGTCCCCGTCTGCCAAGAAGGTGTCCAACCAAGTGATGGAGAAAGGCCCCTGCCTGGCCGACTGGCCTTTGGGCTTTAGAGCTGGAACTCTCTTGCTCCCATCTGAGCTCCTTGTTTAATAAGCAGACCTGGCACGTGGGGTTGGAGTGGGGTTGTGGGAGTTGGTGGTCCAGGGGAAAGTTGGGCTAGTTCAGTGGGAGACGGGGAGAAAATGACTAGATTTTGCTGTTTGTCTGCTCTGAGGACACTGCTGGAATGTGGAGCCTGAGTCTTTGGGCAACAAGTGTTCTGCTTTCGTGCCTGTCCTTTGTGGATCCTGTAGAGCCGTCTCCGCTGGGGAGAGGGATGCGGGTCACCCTCTGCTTGCTCAGAGCCTGAAGAGTCACCTGGAGTTCAGGCTAGAAAATGGTTCCTGACTGTCTGGTGCGATTTGAACCTGGGCGAGTGGGAGTGGGTAGGACCCCACTGGCCTTGGTCTGGTTTTAGTTGGGTTCCGTTAGTCCAACGCAGATGGAAATAAATATTTAGATTCCTGATTATATCCCCGGGGATCTAAGACTTTGGGCCAAAACGTTAAAGCCAGCCCAAGACTCCGGAATTTTGTGTGCTTGAGGAAGGGCTTTGATGGGACCCACCTTCTTCTCCCCTCCTTGACCTTGATTCACCTTAGTCCTTCTGGTCAGCTCCTTTCACCTCTGGGGATGAATGGAACTTGATTTGAGTAAGGGGTAGGGGGTCTTGTA